TTATTCACCTAACCCCACCTGGCCAACAGGTTGAATCTGCAAAATTCACCTTGAGGGTGTCAGGAGATGCCACAGCTAGTTCACGAGGATTAGCTGGCGTAGGGATAGCTTTGAGTACTAGGGCAGAAAAGACATTGCTTGACTGGATCCCGGTAGATAGCCGAATGTGTGCTGTCCGCCTGAACGGATCAGTAAGAAGGAGGAAGGACTGCACTACTCGCCGATGCCTTTTCGTAATCTCCGCCTACGCCCCCACTGACTGCAGTTCAGATGAAACGAAGGATGAGTTCTACCAAAAGCTGTCTAGTTTGGTGCGAAAGGCTAAACGCTCAGACATAGTCGTTCTAGCTGGTGACTTTAACGCTCAAGTAGGGAAATTGTGTCAATCTGAGAAGGATGTCGGTGGCACCTATGGAGCTCCGTGCCAGCGAACCGACAACGGTGACCGTCTCCTACAGTTCTGCTCTGATAATCATTTGTTTCTTGTAAGCACTAACTTTAAACACAAGGAGAGACACTGTTTGACTTGGAGACCCCCTTCATCAAACCAACGCTGGACACAAATAGACCACATAGCAATAAGCTATCGTTGGCGTGGGTCGGTAGGAGATTGTCGCTCCTTCTGGAACACGTGCGTAGATACCGACCATGCACTGGTCCGCGCTCGGGTGTGCTTACGACTGAACGGACGTAGGAAACAGCTGGCGGTAAAACCATCACGTCCCCAGCTCGATCAGGAAACTAAATCCGTATTTCAGGAAGAACTAGCTAAACACATATCTGTGTTCGACAGCTGTGCTCACCCTGAAGAAGCTTGGAAAAATATCCAGGCAGCCATAGATACAGCTGTAAAAGCTGTGAATAAGGTAAACCCAAAGGTGAGTAAAAACCACTGGATCTCCACCGCCTCATCCGAACTGATAGATGCTAGAAGACTTATTCCGGCGAGCTCCGAATTCAATGAGGAGCGAAAGCTGCACAAGAGGAAACTTACGAAAAGTCTCCGCAAGGACCGTGAACAGTGGTGGGCGACAAAAGCCAAAGAGATGGAGAAAGCTTTGAGGATAGGCAACACCAGGCAACTCTTTGGACTCATCAGGGAAACGGGTGGGAGAAGACAAATCATTAGTGAGACAATCTCGGAAAAAAATGGCACTATAATTAGCTCAAGGATAGACGACTGGATCGTTGGAAAGAGCATTATGAGGAGCAGTTTAATTTGCCCACAGCCACGCTCAACCTTCCGAGCATCCAACACCTCCCTGAATGGGATATAGATACAGGTCCTCCGTCACTAACTGAGGTTACTAAAGCTGTCACCAATCTGAAACTAGGCAAAGCAGCGGGACCTGATGGAATGACTCCAGAGGTATTTAAGTACGGTGGAGACAGCTTACTGTCCGGATTAACTGAGGTACTAGGCAGCGTCTGGGAATCAGAAGAAGTCCCATCGGGTTGGTGTAAGTCACTGATTATCCCCATATACAAGAAGGGAGACAAGTCTTCCTGTGATAATCACAGAGGGATTAGCTTGACTAATATAGTATCTAAAGTCTTAGGCTCAATAATCATGCGTAGACTGAGTGGTGCTCGGGAAGCACAAACACGAGAGAGCCAGGCAGGCTTTAGACCAGGAAGAGGGTGTATTGATCATATCTTCACCCTCCGACAGATTCTAGAACATAGGCATTCCTACCGGCGTCCAACAGTCATTATATTTCTTGACCTAAAGGCAGCATTCGACTCTGTCGATCGGGAAGTTCTCTGGAGATGCTTGGCTGTAAAGGGAATTCCAAGAAAATATATTGCACTGATTAAGGCACTCTATTCGTACTCATACAGCCAGGTGAGGGCTTACGGCGAGCTGTCATCTGAACTGATGACGACCAGTGGTGTCCGTCAAGGATGCCCATTATCTCCTTTTCTATTCAACTTCATCATAGATGTGTTAATGGACTTAACCCTAGGTGACTTCAGCGACTCAGGGATTGACTTGCTACCGGGGAATAATCTCGTTGACTTGGAATATGCAGACGATATAGTCCTTCTAGGCGAAGACGCTGACGAAATGCAGAGTCTTCTAAACACCTTGAACAGCAATCTACGAATGTTTGGCATGCGATTCGCTCCCGCCAAATGCAAGATGATGTTACAGGACTGGACTACATCGACGCCTAGTTTAAAAATAGGAAGTGAAGTGGTAGAGCACGTTGACCGCTTCACTTATTTGGGAAGTACCATCAGCCCCAACGGGCTGATCTCTGACGAAATCTCAGCACGAATACAAGGGGCTCGTTTCGCATTTGTTAGTTTACGCCGACTCTGGCGTAGACGAGATGTTCGACTATCGACCAAAGGGCGGGTGTACTGCTCATCAGTCCGCTCCGTCCTCCTTTATGGTTGTGAGACCTGGCCACTGAGAGTGGAAGACATGAAAAGACTAGCTGTCTTTGATCATAGGTGCCTGCGTTCTATTTCCCGTGTAAAGTGGCATAATAAGGTGAGCAACATGGAGGTTAGGCGTAGAGTTCTAGGTAAACAGGGGAAATCAATCGACGAAGTCGTGAAGCTACAAAGACTGAGATGGTTAGGACATGTGTTACGTATGCCAAGTCATCGCCTCCCTCGACGAGCTATGTTAGCGGATATAGGGTCAGGCTGGAAAAAAGCTAGCGGCGGTCAAACAAAAACTTGGCATCAGTCAATGAAATCCACAACAGTTGGTCTAAGCCACGTAGGAAGGTGTAGACTTCCAGGCTGGGGTCCTCGGGACGGTAAAAATCTATGGTTGGAAACAATTGGTGACATGGCTCAAAATCGTTCTCAGTGGCGCAGATGCATCCACTCCTTGTGACTAATGATCTCCAATGAAACTGTTTTGTTTTTCTGGGAAAGTAGTGCTCTTAATACGTTTAACCCCACTCCAAAAATATGGTGGAGATATGTGGATGACACTTTCACGGTGTTAAAAACAGAACATATCTCTAGCTTCCTGACACATATAAACTCACAAGTAGAAGGAATTAAATTCACATTTGAATCAGAAAATGAACAAGGAGAATTAGCTATGTTAGATTGTAAAATAAAACGAATAGAAGAAGGCAAACTACACACTAGTGTTTATAGAAAACCAACGCGTTCTAATAGATATTTAGACTTTAATTCGTCTCATCCTGTCTGTTCGTTCTTTGTCGTTTTGTGTGCCTCAGTAGCATACTTATCACTCCCGCCCTGTGACACGGCAGCAAGAAGCGCGGTCGTTGTTAATCCGGGCCACGGCGGATCCGGCATGAAATTTTGTGAATTCGTTTGGATCATGGTATTGGATGAGGTAGCTGCTTTTTGTTTAACCGCTATCCAAACAACCTGCCTGGCATGGTAGAACCTCAAGAGACATAAGTCTCAGCCAGTATAGCTTGATAAGTTCATTGCGGTGTTCAAGCCCGACCACCACGTCAAGGTAGCAGCTTTCGGTCGGGTCTCATCCGTTAACTGTTAAGGCAGGCTTAGTAAAGTGTCTAACAAATCGAGCCATAGCACTAAGTAGCACAAAAAAAGACCTAAATGATGAAATAAAACAGATAGAAGAAGCGTTGGTGTTGAATAACTATCCTATAAAATTCATTAGGAAGATCACCAAAAACCAAAAGCAAAATAAAAATAATGGTAAAACTATTAATGATAACACAAATAAGAAAGAATATAAGTCATCCACTGTTATACCATATAAGGAAAGCACATCTGAGGCCCTACGTAGGATTCTTAATAAAGCAGGAATTAGGGTGGCATTCAAACCTACAAACTCACTCAGAGACAAGCTCTGTGGATCCAATTAAACAAAAAAATATAATTTACGAAATACCCTGCAATAACTGTGAGGTCAACTACATAGGTCAAACTAGTAGGTCAGGGATAGTCAGATTAACAGAACATAAGAATTTAGCTAAGGTAAGAATGGTTGACCCTAAAAAGATAAATAATTTAGAAAAAAGCTCAGCTATTGCACTTCATGCAATAACAAACAACCACACAATAGGGTGGGATAGGGTTAAAATTCTAAAAAGTAATATAGCTAAGTGGAGAGAGAGGTTGATTACGGAATCCTTATTTATCGAGTCCACACCCAACACATGCAACAAAAATGACTCAATGCAAATACCAGAGATATGGAAGATATTATTACCGCAGGTCAAATCAGAAGAGGGTAATAAATAATATTAAAATTCTATTTCAATTCAAACACATCACAACATCCTAACAAAAAACTTATTATGACTATTAAAACACTCGTCGTATCTTCCATCTGATTATAGTAGATCAATAACACTCGTATTAATGCCATCAGTCAAACCAGAAGAAGATAATAAATAATCTTAAAATTCTATTTCAATTCAAACACATTCTAACAAGCAGCTTATTATGACTGTAAAAACACTCGTCCAATTTTCCCATCTAATTGCAATTGATCAACAACACTCGTACGATTATTTCTGAATGTACATTATCTCACATTGATTTTTAATCCAATATCTAATCCATTCCACATATGTATATAAATGAGAGATCAAAGTTGTGTGAGTAACTTGATATGATTATGAGCAATAGTTTGTGCTCGAAACGTCATCAGTTCATATAACTGTAAACACTGTGCGATTTATCAAAATAAAATCTTATCTATAATGGAATTATACTCTACCACAGTGCCCAAGTTTTATACTTAAGTCAATGTTATCCACGATCTTATTTGATTTTTTAAAGCATGTTTAAAGGAATACTATAATACTGCATTTGGCTTTTTTATCGTTAGTTTTACTTAGTTAGAAAATCTCTTGTGCTATTTAGCTACTCTGTGTGCGAAAACAGCCTGAGATTATTTTTGTCGTCATCCGATTTTACTTTTTATCACAGCCGAAAGTTATATTGTATAACGTGATCCTTACACCTATATTAATATAAGTATATTGAAAGTTATAAATGATATTGCCTTCCTTTTCCTTTAGATTATATTTAGCTGAATGTCAAATGGATTGTTATTGGAAAGTGATTATTGCTAACTGCATTGGTGATGTATTGACAGAGTTCTCGGTGAGTTTCGCTCAACAGATTTATCTGTTTATATGTTAGTTGTTTTATTCTTTGTCAACAACTTTTTCCTTAATAACACCCATCTTTTACCGAATAAACAAGATGCCCCTATAAATGACCTGGTACGACAGAGCTTGGGTAGACTTCAGTCCTCTTCTCAAAATCCTGTCATGTAACCACACATTCATAGCCTTTGACAGGTAAGTCCTGTTCACTATCTTCACGCATTAGAGGTGTACCTCACAAACGTAAAATTAGTCAATATGAACCTCTGACACTTACGATCGGACTGATGGTGGACATGCAGGTCTACCTGGGTGAGCAGCTGGAAAATCCTGATTCCAAACCTATGATTTACGTGCTCTCCGGAATCCGAACAGATCAAACGATGCATGGACCTGTTTTTGTTAGCAGAAACCTTGGGAACCTAGCTCCTGACGCCGATTCACCACCTCGTGGTTCCGACTTCAATTCAAAGGCTCGGGGTGGGAGTGACTTCGGTTTAGGCATTCAAGCAGTATCCTAGCCTTCGCACCAACGATGAGATAACAACTTTTGTGTGATGCATCTCATGGGTACCAAAAGACGCACCACGTTTGTGTTTCAATAATAATGACTAAATAAATAAAATCTTGAATGATGCTGTTATCTTTGCTTCTGTTTTTTCTGGCTTTTAAACAGTTTCAGAATTTATCACTCAGAGTGACTGCCTACTGTGCAGTACTGTTACCTACAAAAGAAGATAATTATTCAAATGTATATTTGATCTTAGCAACATCAGATAATAATTTACATCTTTTACAATGCACAATAAACAATTCTACTCAAATTGTTTCAACACACTGGAAACTGGTAGGCCTAATAGTAATTATTCTGTGCATTTCTTGTACTATCTTTGTATATTTTAAATTCTAATTTTCTGTATTTAGTAAAATAACAAACTGTCTGGTTACTTCATTACTTCATCACTTCGATCGTGATATGGAGTGAACTTCTCACCATCTTGGAATTATTTCTACCTCTATTGAGATAATGTGGTTAGATACACCTAGAAAAAGAATTCCTGTTTTTTTGTCTGGTTCCGGCAAACAATCTATTAAATTTAATTTCAAATTAAGACACGACACAAGTATTGCACAGTGTTTATCAGTGAGTTGGTTGGAAGCAGTTAAGTATTTGAGGCATGAGTTAACTCCAATTTCCCTTCCATGATGTATTAACAATTATTGAAGACCAAAGATAGACGTTTCTTCCTAGCCCGAGGTTGGTCATCAGTGCACAAACACAACTACATGTGAAGTTGAATTTAGAACTACCAGGTGAGGAGATGACTAATTGTGAGATCACTGTTTCAGGATGTTTTATATTAGCATTCTAGTGATCGCATAATATATTTTAGCCAACCTTGCATAAAATCACTCTGGACGTGAGTAACTTTTTGACTGGTTATTTTGTTTTAGCGTTGAGGTTTTAGATTTTGATGGTGATCAACAGAAACTTTGAGATTTGCATTCACGATTACCTGCTAACTTTTATGTAATGAATATCAAAAGGGCACCATCATAGAAAGAAAACTTATTATATGACTTTGCTACTTCACTTGTATCTAACAATTTGTAAATGACAAAGATGATCTGTAGCTCAGGTGGACGCTTTTGATATGATTGCGTTCTCTGAGTTGAGTGATTTAATTACAAAGCCTCCATTGTACTTCCAGACAACATCTTCTACTCAAGATTTAATGTGAAGTGAAATTATTTGAATTCTTCTGGAATGATATAATTGTATCTCCAGCAAGACACACAACATCCTCCCTCAAAAAGCAAAAGGAGATTCGTCTTGCCATATAAAGAATATTTCTGAAATAACGGTTACAATACTAAAACCATTCGAAATAGATATCACACAGAAACCAATACAATCACTTCATTCAATACTACTCAAACCAAAAGACCCAGAACAAAAGAAAACAAGATAATCACCATCTAAAAAATAAGTTGCATAAATTATGATAAGATCTATGCTGGTTAAACTGGGCATCCCATGACACTACGAATCCACGGACACAAACTAGCTATCAAAATACGCGCCGTGTATTTTTTTATATCAGTAAATGTGCAGACAACTGTGGACATGAATTTCACTGGGAAAATGTAGAAATTTTAAACCGTGGCAATACCAAATAAATGCCGAGAAATTCTTAGAAGCCTGGTACTCAGATGAATAAACAACCAACAGAAACATTACTATAGATCAATTTTATGAACTGGTAACGAATGAGACAAATGACCAAAACTGTCAAATTCAAAATCAATAAAAACGATCAATACTAATGCAAATTAGCAAATGATCCCTATTATATCACTCATGGAGAGTTCAAATAAGTGCACTTCATACTGAAAAATGTGTTCAAGATGTTCTCTAGAAGAACAATGAAAGCTTACAATCAAATCATCAAGCTTGGAGAACGAAACCACACCAAAATCTGTGGACAAACAGTTGATTTTCAAGAGTTAGTTCGTAGGGATTGACGGAAGTTAGAATTCACCAGCCACTGGATTCTGGTCCAAATGATCTAATGAGCAAAGAGCTTGATCTCACAAATTGAACACCCAGGGTCCGACCCCCATTAGCTGCGTACTTCTGAAGAATCTCAAAAAAGGACGAGACGGTTATCCAGTACTCCCTGGATTTCAGTGGTTCTCTCACTGATATCAGTCTGTGATCAAACTTGAAATAAACAGTTGCTTATTTTGTTTCTATGAATCGCTAGTCTTATTATTCCCAAAATAACACAATTACCATATCGTTGTGACATATAGATACTGAAGACTCAATTCCTTCTTAAAATTATTTTTTGAAATGAAATGATTACTACTATTATTAGTGAACAGTAGTAAAACGGTAGTTGTCATACTAAACGATATTATTTATATTCCCTTGGTGAAAATTTGTTTTCTATGTGACATTCATAAGTCGGACAGAGTGCAATTGAAAACATATTAAGCCGCGCCCTTTCAATAATCCAAGAGCTGAATTTACTTTATGACTGACGGACATATTTGTTTTCATGTTAAGATGAACTGTGAGAAAGGACGTCCTTAAAGTTTATGATGACAATATATATTCATGCTAACTTCACGACAACATATATTTCTTTTCTTTTATAGATCACTGTCTATCCAACTGAAGCACAGGTCACTAAACTTACCATTGTCAATGAAAACCCCTTAATAATTCTTTGTGGTGACGTACAAGGTCGAGTTGACTGTTATGCCTTACTGTGATAACCTAATTCATATCATTTCCAGAAACCTGTTTTATTTTTCTCCCTTTTATATCGCGCAATGGATTCCCCTAGATGCAAGTAGTATTATTAATTTGTCATATCATGGTTTTGATAGAGACAGTTTTCTAATCTTTTCTTATAGTAATAATTTTATTGGACTCATGGATTTTTTAAAATACCATCTGTAGTTTATTTGCATCACTTGTCATTGATTAAATAAATTATCTTTCTCTTTTTCAGTCTTTATTCAACTGTTCCTTAACTTTATCTGTTTCAATCTAGCTCAAAAGTCTGAAAAGAGCAATTTGGAGTCATGTAGAAAAAAACAGCTGCATTGTAAGCTTATCTTGTTTAAATGCAATGACTAATTTATGTTCTGTGACGATTAGTGCATGTTTGACGCTAGCGTCCTGTGCTTGGTAGCTATAAAGGCTGTTTACACTATTCAGATGAACACTACCATTTCAGTATATCAGTTAGGCCTATAATCAACCTAGGTTCACTCTTTTATTCCTTTGCTTTTCGAATGGAATATAGGGCTTTAAGCTTGAGTCTTGAAGTTCTAGTAGCATTGGTATTATTTTTATTGCCTTTTTTATAGTGACGTCCATCATTCTCTCTATATCAGATTCGATACGGGCTAGGCGGTTTTAGAACTGCGTCAGCCAGAGATCGAATCCTGAACCACATGCGTGATCAGCGAGTTTTCTACTACTGAACCACCGATGCACAATCAACTTAGGTATTACCTTTAAAGAAAGTGGGGGTGTGGTCGAAATAAGCTTCACAGTTCCAGTATTTACACCATACTGAAGTAGCAGTCTTTCTGTCTATTGCCTTTGCAGGTGTACATACACAGGACGTTTTATAAACGCTAGTGGCATTCAGTGGGTGGTTAGTGACTAAGGAGTACAGAATGACAAGATGAGTAACCAAGTAAACATTAATCCTTCTTCATGCTTTGTAAGGTTCTCTTTCTTTATTGAACAGTATTGAACGATGAATACCCTTCTGTGTTTGACTAGATTTCTCCGCTTCATTTGCCCACCAGCGTGAATAAACTAAACAGGCGTTCATCGGTAACTGCTCCCTTCTTACTCCGATCTAGCTACATATTCTGCGGAACTGTGTAGGTTATGCAGTACCGATAGAAAGCAGGAAGAAGTAAACCTCGAACAGCTATACAGACAGAAGTTTTAACCAGCCATAGCCTGTTCGTTAATAGTCGTGTTTCTCAAATTTTTGTTTACTGGTAGACATTTCGAACACCATTTATTGTTTACACAAACATGTCAAATGCAACTGCACAACTTCGAATGCTGGATTTCATACTCCCAGTCCTTCTTTTCTATTTGGCCCAGGTGTAGTATATATATATATATATATATATATATATATATATATATATATATATCCTCAGTTGATTCAGCACATACAGCTAAATAGCATTCTTTAACAGCAAACCTTTCAGTGTCATCAAGTCGCATTTTGCAAACCAATTCGCTATTTGCGATTTACACAGTTCGAGGTGAAATTTCACCACACAGTTTCCTTTTTAGATACAGAAATTATTCACATCACAGTATGTAATAGCAGTCAGGAAACCAAGCATACATACATGACGTTATATACTACCGGCTTACTGATATGAATAGTTGGACACCACTCTCATCGAGCAGTAGTGTTTGCTATCCAGTCGCCGAAGTTGCTACTTAGAACCCAAGCAGTCTGAACTAATTTAGCTCTCTGAGCTGAACCAAATCGGGCACAACGTTGATGAACTCAGCCCCGAACGAGCGAAATGGCTGTCCGATGTTTACATTACTTTCATCTGACTGCTCAGAACTAGTGATTGATGTGACAGGTGTCCACCAACTACTCATGCTAGTCAATCAGTAATATATATGACTCAGCATCAAGCTACATATCGCTACCAGTGTAGCTTCATTAGATGTCCAACAGCATATTTACATTCTATTGCATAATTCTGTGTCGCTGAAAACTCTGTTGGATCTGATTAAGAACTACTAATAAAGTGCTGTTTTCTAACTTGTTTTCGCCATATCATTTCTGCGCTTTGAATTTTCTGTAGCGGTTGAGTTGATTCTCTAGGGTAGGGTCGCTAGCCCCATACCTATCTTTACCCCTATTTTTTGGGCTTGGGACAGACTAGAAAACTAGGCGAGATTAGCGAAAAAAGTAGCTTGGAACAAGGCATAAAAATTTCCAAATGGAATAGTCGGTGAAAGGAGTACTGGTGTAACGGTAGAAGACGAGAGACTTGGTGAAGGAATGCGTATTTGGAAATCGATATCTCTATATGGCGAAATTATGTACACCTTATTTTCAAATCACCATTTGCACAGATCTTCTGTGTTGTGTTACTTCTGGTCTTAATATTGTGTGTTCCTTTCGCGTTTCCACGTATACCTGCAACGCCATATCATCTGCTTTCTCTGACATCAAATATTATTCTCCTGCTTTTGACGTTTTTATGCCGATCAACCTCTCTTTGCACATGTATACTACTGATAAATCCTATCAGTAGCACACGACACACTGCTAACGATTTAGAATTATTGTTTCGAATTCACCAAGTAGCGCGTGGTGGCATTTACCCACCGATGGTATTAGAGGACAGTTCCGCTTTATAGCCGACTGCCAGTGTCCATATTTGGAAAGCATAGTTAGGGCGGTTATGAGGACAGAGAGCTGAGTAGTTCATAATTAAAACATAACTGTAACCCTTAGTTTTTAAAGATTTTGTAAGTGATTTGCTCTGTGACAACACAAAATTTATTCATATACCACCAATGCCTGAAACATATTCTAACTATGTAACAATAGTCTTCAATCATATCAACCTTATAGTCCAAGCTTGCATTTTATTCGAGTTAGTTCGGATTAGACGACAGGGTAGTTTTATTGAATGAAACGTGTTTCATAGTCTAGAACAAAACCTGTATCATTCATTCAGGTCAAACTAATAATAATCAATAAAATTCGGAGCAGTAGTGTCTAATACACAATAATACGACAGAAAACAATACAAAATTTAATAAGTTGATATATATATATATATATATATATATATATATATATATATATATATGATAGCAGTTAATTGCATATGAACATACCACCCTAATTAAACCATTTGACAACAGATTAATACAAGAATTTCGAAACTTCATAAATAAATCGATATATGCATACATAAACAGATAACGTTAACTGAATTATTTGCTAACAGGTTAATTACTGACAATTAAATTTCATTTTGACATGGAACTTAAGCAGTGTAGTAGAATACGACCCTATAATAGAATAATGTATCTGACACAGCACAGTAACGGCGGTGTATTGCTCATTGCTGATGGTATACTATAGTTCACTCCTAATGTTATCTAAAGACCTCTTTGTAGCACGTTTTTAGGCATACACTGTATCACAGTAAAAACTATACTGACGTCTATAAGTATCTATAACATGCAGGACAATTGGGCTGTGAACAGATTTATCTTCAGCTTTTCCACACCAGGTGTGTATGTGTTCACCAATCCGGAGATAACTGTATGTACTCGTACACCATGAATAACTTGATTTACTGACTTACTATCAAAGTGTGCACACTATCAGTGATTTCATATTGTTTTTCTTAGCACAAAAGTGTAGTAGTTCAGGTGGCCAAGCTTGGTAAAAGCATATACAGAAGTAGGAAAAAATGTAGCAAGAGTACAACGCATGAACAAGTACGATAGACTATAATCAGATGAAGATCAGCTTAAGTTTTTAGAATCTGGAAGATAACAAGGGGTGAACATATTTGCTTTATTGTGAACGATTCTGAGCCATAACAAGGTCTTCAACAATTGATTATTAGCATTCTGAGGATATCAAACGGGTAATCTAAACCCTCCTACATGGCTAAAACCAACAACCAAAGACTTCATAAACTGGTGCTAAGACATTTCCCATAACTAACCCCAACCAAATAAGACTCCAGCTAAATGAATCGTCGGAGGAGAGGTCACGGTCCATCACAGTTGTTGGAGCTTCATAACCTCACTGATTAATTTCATGTCCCATCACGTAACACACACTATACCTAATCACATTCTTATCAAGTGTACTGCGCCACCTAACACCAGGGCAAGTGAAGACAACAAAAGTCAGAAATGCCAAATCTTTCCATATTTTATATCTTCAACAGCAATGTCTTATAGTTGTAAAGTAGGGAAAAGCAGACATTACACGCATCCTTTGATGGGGAACTATGTTTCATGCTTCTGCTAAACCAGCCATATGTATGCGCCAAGAGATCGTGTCAGCAACCAGTCAATTAGTATTGATGCAACCTCACAAATAAGTGAAGTGCTAACGCATTCAAATAATTTTCTTCATACCCTTAAAATAAACCCTTACAAGGTATCTTGAGAAAAAGATCGAGACATCTGCATAACTATATGTGTGTTGGAGGATAAACGACGCAGACATGCTTTTTATCATGTACTGTGATACATACTTCTGGCGTGCTGCTTCAGATATGTAGTGACAGCATAAAAAAGGGATATAAGAAAAGCATTTTCATAAAACTGGTATCTTTTGTTTGGAGATGAACATTCTTTATCTCTCTGGTTCCTGATTTCATTTGTTAAGAATTTCATCCCTATTAAACTGCTACACAAAACTAAGTTTACCGTACGAACTGACTCGATATTAATGCAGTCAAGACAAGTATTATACCGCCAGTGAGTTTTCTAACAACACCAACAACACAGAAAAACTTTTCATTCAAGAGGAAAGGATAAAATTCAGACATTTTTATTTGTTGACAAATAAATTATATAAAAAGACGACTATTATCCCTGATATATCAATTTTTCTATGAAAACTTATTTTGTTGAAAAAAGAAAAATGAAAGGCGGAGAAAGAGAAATCAGCTTATCGAAAAAGCTTCAGTGTAAAATGTGCTAGTGTTTCTTTTTTAGATTTCCCATGATATCATCTAGTGAAATATTGGTTCTACATTCAGTTAATCACAGTCTTCATTCAGCATAGCAATACGAACATTAAGAAGTGACGCGAATCCAGTCCATAGTGCGTATGGAATCATCAGATTACTAGCGTCAACATTGATTGGTCGAAATAAGTATACACATGCCAGAGCTCCACCGAAAATGCCTAAACACACTGCTGTTCCCTATAGTGAAGAAGAAGCAAGGTATACACTCAATAACTATAGGAATATTATTTCAAAATATTATAATATAAATGTCTAAATAAATAATTACTTTTTAATAAAATATCCGAAAAATAAGTCTACGAGATCTGTTAGGCAGTGACTAAAGTATAAATTCAAGACAGGTCATTTTTACATCAAATATAAAAGATCATGCATCCCTAACAAATATTAAGTGACAGTTTCTATACGGCACTGCAACTTCCGCCCACGTGCCTAGAGAGCCGTAAATACCCGCTAAGCAATTCGTAAAAATAGTGTAGCCCAGTATGATGTAAATACGAATCTGAATAGGTTGCAGTTGAAATCTCTGCTTCGCGCTTAACAATGCAAGTTAGAATTTCAAAAAGAACATACGTTACCTCAGAGTTGCAGATACGCCTCAGACTATGGTGAGCTGGTACACTTTTTGACATGGTTTAAAATCCCTTAAAATGGTGTGAATAAAATCACTGCTTATTATCTTCTAGATTTTGAAAATATAGACTAACCAATTTATAATCCCTACCGCACTTCTACATTCATTATAGCCTCATTACATTTCTTTCTCTACTTTATTTGTGCGTTTCCACTGTGACAACTTGAAATGATTCACTTTTATGCAAAGTTGTTATCAAAACCAGTGACTTACGACTGATGAAACCAAACTGTGAATCACGTAGAGATTAGGTACGCGGTCTTAAGTGATGCGAGTAGATTAGTTGATGAAATTCTAAAAAATCGTTCACCGAAGTGATCGCAGTATATTACATATTATATCAGTGTAAGATTACGTTAGAACAAAGCAAGGGTGGAACGATAGTTCTATAAAAATATCCATAGCCATCTGTATAGCTAGTTGCTGATTCCCTGTTGAACACAGTGGAATTCGATTCGTTTAAGTGCCTGAAAGAGAGAAAGCATCAGATGTGCGTAACTGTAAAGTCCAAAAGAACAACTATTTGAGACCAGTCTTACATACCCTACGCAGGTAAGGCAGGAAAAATTGCTTTCGTACAGAGGATATTACCAGTCGGCATACGGCAAGTCAGGATGTAAGATTTCTGGTATTAACCTGGGAAGACGACATAGCTTGAGGAAACATCTTATCCCTATCTATCACAGTACGACCACTATCAGCCCCCCTTCTCATACAGTAAGCAACAGACGTCATGATGGTAACTGCTTTGTATAACCATAATCAAAGTAAACTTCATAATGACATTGAGGACGCTCATTTCAGCCAGAATAGCTTTTTAAAAAACGATCAAGAGTCTTAACTTATCTCCAACTACTTTGTTAAGCTAATAATGCAATTTACGAACCAACGATTACTGCTAAATATGTTACGGTACCAAACACATCATTTCCAAAAGGAATAACTAACATACATATTTTATTCCATATTAGTTTGTTTATTAGATGTATCACACAGTGAAACAGTATTATATACTGGATGACGTTTCGAACACAATTTATTGTTCATTATCATATCAATTATGATCACACGACTTTGAAATATTAGTTTTTTTCTTTCAAAGTCGTGTGATCATAATTGATATGATAATGAACAATAAATTGTGTTCGAAACGTCATCCAGTATATAATACTGTTTCCCTGTGTGATACATCTAATAAACAAACTAATATGGAATTACTTACTACCACAGTGCCCAAGTTTTACACATATATTAACATACATATTTTAGTTTATGCTGCCCGAAAAATAGAGGCGTCCACGACCAATTAAGTAGAAGCTGAGCACCATAAACAGCCAAAGGAAGTAACGCTTTTTCATGTGATGCATCTCTCCACACTAAATAAGATGCAGCGCCCATGCAACCATAAAGCGCACTCCACACAGGACCAAACACCCATTTCGGGGGTGCAAATGATGGCATTTTCAGAGAATCATACCAATCCATATTCTTGGAGACAATCCGCTGGCCAGCAAACACTCCAACGAAAGGTACAGCGATGAAAGGGGCAGCATGTAATAAGGACATTTCACGCATCATAGCTCAGTGACCTACAGAAAAAAGAAAGGTTGTTAGGAGCAAGACAGAATGCTACTGGCATTCGAATAAATTATACAAACGTATGGCAATAGCCTAAGACTCCAACTGCCGCCTATCATGATATTACATAGATGAATAGGAAAATAACAGAATTTCATGTTGTGATTGTCCTTTTATAAAAGTGAAATCACTACCGTTGTGAGCGACCCGTTGTAAAATCGTGTGCTAAGTTGATTTTTGTAGATAAAGGGGACAAAGAATATCCTTCTCTCTGACTAGAAACTAGAGGCAAAGTTTAAGAATGGAGTCCCAAGAGATGCGAACGCACAATGACCTTGAGCCGACAAATCAGAAAATAGGAGGAATTTTGCATAAAATTTAACGTATATTTACACAAAAATGCATGAAAAAAACATTAAACGGATTATATTTCTCTGATATGACTTAAAAATACGTTCCAGTTGCGATGAAGAGTAACAGTTGCTAATTTGGACTAGTTTCTGTAGATGTATTCACCAAAGAGACTGAAGGTGTGTTGTTTTGGGAATGGTTCATCTCTCTTCTCTTGCTGTGTAGTCCTCTCCTAAGCCCTCGGTTTAGTTACTATGGTTCCAGTAAGAGCATTGGCGACTACATACAAGGTAAATAAGGATAACAAAAGAACTTGATATAAACGAAAAATCTATTCCTAATCGCTACCCTAACCCTAAACCCTAACCCTAACCCTAAACCTAAACCCTAAACCCTAACCCTAAACCCTAACCATAACCCTAACCCTAAACCTAATCCTAACCACAATACTCGCCTTAACCCCTATCCTAACCCTAACGAGATGTTAACACATTGTCCAAACAGTAGTAAAAGTGTTATCTGGGTGAAACTTGCTCCTTATTTGATGAATAGGGTTGATATTTCAGCTATGATAAAGACAGGAACCGCTAGCCAACGACTAGCATGCGTTCAAGGTCATTTGAGCGTTGAAGGTTTTGGGACCCTATTCTTAAACTTCGCCCTAGAAACATCTCAAAATACATATCAGACCAGAAAATGAGGGAATGAAATTTTTTCTACTAGAAATGTGTAGAGATTGACATTGGATACACCAGAAACAAGCGATCATCAATATAAAAACTATTAAAATTCACCCTGGCAGAATCCATAATTTACGACGAACGTGAACTATAGCAGCCATTTAAGCACATATAATCTGAATGGTTATTGGCTAACCGATTACTTTATTGATAAATAAATAGGGTCAAGTGGTTCAAAAACTAGTTGGCCGCATTTATAGGGTTCATTAATGAAGTACTTATTTCTGTAACTGTAATTATGGAGCAGTCTTCGGCCAACTGATGACGTCGAGAGAGGTTAGTGGCATAATGGATAAGGCCACAAAACTGTACTTTCATAATTTGAAAGATCGCATCCAAAGGCGTAATCTGAAGGAAGGATTTCAGGTAAAATGTGAAACGCCCGTTTACTTTTAAAAATCAACGTTTGATCAACATTTAGTGAACACAAAAGGGATTTTATTTCTAGGCAAATGCTAAAGATACCAGGGACATAACAGTGCCAGTTATGTAAGTAAACTTTTGTAAATGTGAATGCTGAAAATGTGATGAGCATAATTTTCCATCGACTAATCTTTTATTTTGCTTATTTACAGGATGCTACCAGTGGGCCTCATTTGACGGATTTGCAGTGACATTGTACTACAGTTTCTAAATACAAAATTCCCTTAATTATAAAAACTGACTTCTTTCGGCAAACTAAACGAATCGTGCCATCATAGGACACAAGTGATGGTAATTAGTAGAAGTCTTTTTGTTCTTTAGTAATGCTTTATATGCTCTGTGAGGGCTGGAACAACGGTGATCATCAAACCCAGTACGTTCTGATCAACTTCTGGAAAATTTTATTTTTTTTATTTAAAGCTTGATTCCATGTAAAAACCGGTAAACCTTGATAGACCTTTGTTTCTGTTTCCTATGTCCTGAACACGAGGAACGTAAATTTAGTCGGTTAGCTACCAAATAATATACGAACAGTGGTCATCAACCAAACTCCCACAGTAAACTTGCACCTTTAATCAACGCGCCCTGACCTACAATATCCAATATCCTGATTACGAGCTAGTATAAACCAGTGATTTCTTTGAGCTCGCTTCTTGATTGTGAGGTAGAGGTTCCAGATCTTCGGTGAGCTTCTGCGTAGTAAGTCCCGACACTCGACTGCTTTAGCTCTGGTAGACTCCAGGAGGAGTGGTGCGGGGATTGGTCGAGATGTGGTTTGTAGTATGCAGTATGTTAGGACTGTATTGCTGCCGTGAATGGAGTTTGACCTAACTCCCGTTGGTCATTCGGTGTAGTCATAAAAGCAGAATAGTAGTAATAATAATAATATGGTTGTAGTGTAGATAATATAGGTTGAGATAAGTGGAATAATAAAGGTGACCTAAGGAAAAGATAGAGTGAGAGAAGGCAGAATAGGTCGTGGGGATTTAGTTTGTACGCTTATTCATTGACAGTGTGGTTTCAAATTTTATGAGGATAAGCCATTGAGACACAAACCTTGCATTTCTGCATGATTGTCTAGCTTCCGCTTAAAAATCTCCAGAGATGGCGCTGTAGTCACGGCCGCCGGTAAAGCGTTCCAGAGACGGCAAACACGAAGCGAAAAGAAATGTGATCGCACTCGAGTCTTTGGTCTCTGGTGTGCTATCCTTAGCGGGTTACCTCGTGGAAGCCTATAATCGCTTAATGGCAGGATGCTTTTATTTGGGTGGGCCTGGTCATTTAGGATCTTGTAGACGGTGATGAGGTCTCCCCTGTGCCTACGGTAACTAAGTGTGAAAAGACCTAATTTCTTTAGTCTTTCCTCATATGATTTGTTGCGGAGGCCGATCACCCATTTTGTCGCTCGTCTCTGGACACTTTCTAGAATGTTAGCATCCCTTTTGAGTAGCGGAGGTGCAATGATATTATGCACCTCAAGGTGTGGCCTCACATATGCCTTGTATAGCCTTAAGAACAGTTCGGGAGTGAGAGCTCCCAGCTGCCTGTGCATAAAGTGTAATGTTGCGTAGGCTTTGGCGACGTCCCTCGAGTAATTTCCACTGGTGTCTAGCTTTTCTGTTAGAATAAGACCTAGATCACGCTCTGATGGAACACAACTCAAGTTCTGGCCACCAAGGGTGTAATTTACACTCTGTGACCTGCCGGAATGAAGCTGCACTACTTTGCACTTCTTTAGATTGAAAGGCATTCCGTTAGCCAAAGCCCAATTTCCCAGAGTTTGCAGGTCAGCCTGCAATCTATCTGAGTCTTCCGATGAGTTTATTGCTCTCCAAATCTTTACGTCGTCAGCGTAAAGAAGCGCAGAGCAGTTTAGTTGGGAGGGCAGGTCATTGATAAAAATCAAAAACATCAACGGCCCTAGGATAGAACCCTGAGGAACCCCTGATGCCGAGGTGTGCCAGGATGATCGGATGCGGTTGACTTTGGTGCAGAATTCTCTCTCGCCTAAGTAATCTTTCAGCCATGCGAGAAGTGCTCCAGAAACTCCCGCCTTGCTTATTTTGTGAAGGAGCAGACCATGGTGAACTGTGTCGAATGCTTTCGCAAAGTCGAGAAAGATCACGTGGGCTGGTACCTTTTTGTCCCAGGATAGTGTCCAATCGTTCCAGGCTAGTAGAAGATTCGTCACGCAGGATCTTCCCCTCCTGAAACCGTGCTGTGCTTCGTGAAGAAGGTTAGTCCCATCGAAGTATTTTCTCATGTGGTCGTCAATGAGACTTTCCAATATCTTCGATACCACTGGAAGTAGAGCAACTGGTCTGTAACTGGTCACATTCTGCCGGTCACCACCCTTGAAGATAGGGGATAGGATTGCACGTTTCCATTCACATGGAAGTTTCCCTACATCAAGGGAGTGTTGGAACAGATCACTTAGGGGTTGACAGAGACTTTCTGAACACTGCTTCAGGACAGATGGTCTGATGCCATCACAACCTGAAGACTTTCCCGAAGCCAACCTTCCCAATTTTGCAAGTACCATAGCCGGGGTAATTTGAAATGTACCCAGCAGGTTTTCGTGTGTTGGTTTTGCGATGTAATCTGGATGTTCTGTGGGGTAATATCCTCGTTACTATTTAGTTGCCTGTGAAAGGCTAGGCTGAATGTCTCTGCCATTTCAAGACTAGTAAGAGATTTCCCATCAGAACCCACTAGATTGCATGCTCCCTGGTTGGTCGGTTTTCTTTCGGCCATAAACCTGTATAGGCTTTTGGGGTTCACGAGAAGCTTATTGGCGAGGTCTCCCTGAAATGTCCTTCTATCGCTCCGGACTCGTATGTTACATCGATTCCTGAGTTCAAGGTACACTTCATATTCGGGTTGACTCTTCGATCGTCGCCACGCGAACCAGGCTTTTCGCTTTGCCTGCAGAAGGCGTTGTGTCCCCTTTTCAGCCATGATCGTTGCTTCCTAGCTTTTGGTGAGACTAAAGGAACAGTGTCTGAGACCGCCTGGTGAATGATCTCCTTTACCACTCTCCAGTGTTCTTCTACTGTTAGCTCTGTCCATTTTTTAGGCCAATTTGCTTCAGACAGAAGTCTTCGCATTTTGGTGTAGTTGGCTTTGTTATAACACAGATAGGGCTGTGTATTGTCCCACTGTAAGCGCTCGCGGAGGACTATGTCGAATACTATGACCGCGTGGTCACTACTACCTATGGGAGTCGTGATCTGAACGTTTTCCACTAGTAGCTGGTCACTAGTGAGCACGTAATCCAGTCTAGAAGACTTCCCATCAGGGCCCCATCTAGTATCCATCTTGACATTTTCAGTGAATCCAGCCTTCCTGATGGTATGCAGCAGATTTCGATCAAATCTATCATGGGCTTTTCCCGACACCAAGTTAAGAGATGGGGCATTGAAGTCACCAGCTATGACAATTTGATCATAACCCATGTCTTGAGTTGCTGAGATTGTATTTAGCAGTACCTGGTTGTGGTCTGCTCCACATGAAGGTGATCGATAAATGCTGCCCACTAGATATTTGCAGTACCCAACGGTGAAGTGGCACCATATGGAGTCAGGGAGCTCTGTGAGGGGAGGGTCCATCGCGTGAACACATCTGAGCTGTTTGTCGACGTATATGGCGACTCCACCTCCTTCTTTCAGGTCCCTATCTCGCCTGACTAGGACCATATCATTTATACTGACTTCGCTGTCTGCCACCGTAGGGGTTAGCCAGGTTTCCGTCAGTATTATGATTTTGGAGTTTAGTTGTGATTGTAGGTGTCTAAGTTCAGCTATTTTGCCTCTTAGCCCTCTCACATTACTATACAGGCAACTGGTAGTCAGTCTCACCACTTCCCCGTATTGGGGGGTAGTTGACTTGATATTGGCTATCGGTTGAGGAGTTATCCTACGAACTAGTTGGCCGATTCCCCAGGAACCGGCCTGTTGGCGTTTTTTTCTTCTAGTTCAGTTGGAGCACTCGGATGACACTGGCTATCATCGTCCGTGCTGCACCGCTGTAGTGTGACTAGGGGTTGAGGATTTTTTTTACTACGCTTTGTTCTCTCCTTTGAGTGCGAGGCCGGCTCTCGCAGCAGCGAATGTGTTTGCTGACCTTGTCCTTGGTCTCGTACCATCTATGGAGAGCGGTAGTCAACTGGTCTTGGGAGCTGAACTTGACAGCTAACAGACGTGGCGAGTTAATTGACATAAGATGAGTGGGTCGAGGCAGTCTATAAATAGAGACAGCCCCTGAACTTCCAGGGCCATCTGGGATGCTAACCATCTCCATTGTTGTACATCATGACAATGCTTTTCGCAGGCGTTCCCAGTTACCAGTTCGGGAATGCCATGCACAACCATGGAGGCAGAAGGAATGAGCTCTGGCGACTCCCTCGCCATTTGTCTTTCCTTCCACGGCCTGTCTGGCTTAACACGTATGTTACAGGCCCTCCCTATAGAAAGGACTTGAGAAGCCAGTAACACTTTTTCAACATCCTCGGTAGAGCCCAATGTTACCCTCAGTGGGGATGGTTTGCCTTCAGGTGCAGCAGTGCCCCTATACAATCTGCATAGATTTACTGGTTGGATGTCCAAACCCAGTGTGCTACACAAGATGGACCACTGTTCCTGATCAAATAGGGCCCTATCTTTCAGCAGACTACTGCTACAGTCTGGTACATTAAAGAGGATTACACAATTTGATCTGCTAACCGTGGGCTTGGGCTCGGTCCTCGCACGTTTGTGATCACCTTTAAGACCGTTTTGGTTTGACTGGTGCGACTGGGTATTTTTATGTGTCTCAGTGCTATAGCCAGCATTACTGATAGACGGTTGGGGTCTTTTTCCAACGACGGAAACCCGTGGTTCTCCAGCCTCTGTGTCTGGAGCGGTTATGGCAAGAGTTACAAGTTTAACCGGTGAGGATTTTGGTATCCCCGGTTTACGCGCGTTTGTACTAACTTCCGGATTGGTGGGGGTCGAGCTTTTCACCTTTTCCCCGCTACTTCTGTGCCATCTTTAGTTTTCAAAGGACTACGCGAGGCTACATCAGGACGGCAACTCGGGCATATGTACCAGAACCATTGGCATGGGTTTTTACGCATAAAGTCATAATATGCTTTTGGTACCCCACTGTCGCATCTGCAATGCACCCATCGGTTGCAAAAGTTACATTCGAAAGCAGAGTCTGCTTGTTCGACAACAGAAGCACAGACCTTGCAGTCGTCTGTCTTCTTGGGGAGCGTTCTTGTCGTCTTGCGACGTCGTGAACGTTTCTTTTTGGCCTTCCTATTTGTTTCATGGTCTACCATGGGGATGGGTGTTATGAAGTTCTCACTTAGTGCAATTTTCCCACTCGGATCTGTTAACCTAGTCGTGTTAACAGGGGTGGAGCCACATCCACTTGGCTGACTTTGCACAGCTTCACTGTAGGACTGTGGCGACATGGGTAATCTGTACGAGCTGGGAATATTAGCCCTGGTCTTCAGGACCGGTATGCGTGAGTCCATCACCTTCTCCTGTTTGCCTAGTTTGGCTGAAGCCCTGGTAACTACAGAGTATGATGTCCCATTACTTATTTTAGGT